CCCGGGGAGCCTGGCTCCCACTTCCCGCCCGCCCACTCCCTCGGTGGCCCCTTTACCTTGATGCAGTACGGGGGTTCGTCGTAGGTGACCAGCATGTACCTGTCTCCGCGGCTGGCCGGGTCCCGGGCGCGCAGCTGCGGGACGAGGGATGACGGAGGGGGCCGCGAAGGGAAGGAGGGAGGAGGGGGCGATACAGACGTTACAGAAGCACCTAGATCCACCACCACCCCCATCCCTCGGGAGCTCTCCCCAGCTCTCCCCTCCCCTCCCTTTACCTTCAAGAATAACTCCACAGCGCCTTTGGCAATGTCCAAATAGGAGGTGCCCAGGTCAGTGCGCTGGTTCATAGAGGCGGACGTGTCTATGAGGAACAGCAGGATGGGCATCTTCCCCCGCACCCCTGGCTCCGCTGCCCACTCTCCTGGCCCTCTTGCCCTCACTGCCGCGGACTGCCACCCGAACCCTCAACTCTCGCAGGGGCAGGGTGCAAGGAGCAAGAGGAAAACGGGGAGACGGGACGGGACGGATGGAACTGCTCCTGGCCTCCTCTTTCTGCAGCCCCACCTCCTCTCCCTCCAAGGGAACTTGAAAGTGGGAGCGTGTGTAGCCCTCGGGGCCCTCCCCCTTTCCCCTCCCCTGCCACCACTACTGCCGCCGCCGCCGCCGCCGCCGCAGGGACTACTGCCCAAGCATCCGTCCACGCTCACTCAAGCGCTCGCCCCAGACTGAGAGCTGTCTCTGTTCACCGACACACAACTTCTGTCCGCTCACCTACCATGGGCACCATGTGACCAGAAACCACGCCATTGGCTGCCAATTATGTGGTATTTGCATATTCATTAGATGACAGGGCAAGGGGCGGGACTTGGGCGAACCCTGGGAGTTGAAGTTTGAACCCAAGCAGGGGGTAAGTGAGGGGAGATGTTAAGGACCCTCCTTTAAACGACTTGGAAGCCGTTAGGATACTTAGGGTGGTTTGGATGGATATTCTCTTGCTCTTCAAACACGATGGCTCGAAAGGAAGAGTGAATTTGAGCAACAGTTGCGCAGCACTACAGAAGCAGATGCTTGGACGGGCTGCACAGAAAACGCTCTGCTAACTGCAATCGATCAATCCTGCCAGTGGCTAAGACCAAAACATTTCAGAAGCAGCAAACTTCTTTCCTGGCAAGACCTACTCGCATTCCTTTCGATGCCTCCCCACTCTTGATCAGTATTTGTAAGGCGGTTGCTGGCCTTGCATTCCACATATATCTACTTAGAAAGAAAACTAAAGCTTGGAACAAACACGGTTACCTAAACTGGCCTTTTGTATCTACAAGCTTCTTCAGTTTCATTGAGCTTTTCAAGTATTGGCCTGCCTGTGATAATTCTACCCATGGTTGTGCCTGCTACAGCCTTTACACATGGGAGGTTTCCCACCCTAGGTTCTGATTCAACTCTCACTTATTGAGCACCTACGATGTGCCGGGCACCCACGTTGGCTTTATTTAATCTTTGAAATAATTGGGCTAGATGGCATTATATTTGACTTCCAGTAAAGGAAAGTGCAGCTTGCTAGAATTAGGGTAACACTGAGGGATATTCTCAAGTCTGGTTCCATGGAGAGGCTCGGTAGAGGGCCAACCGTTCTCGGCTGACTACTTGGTGTAACACAACTTTTAAATATGGAGGTGTGATCCCAGCAGTGTGCTATGCATAACATGGAGCCCTGAGCTTCAATGAGCTTACAATTCATATGTGCTTTGTAATGTAATACATATATACGCACACACGCACATGTATACGTATATAGGACATGCATACACATTCAATAACATTTTCAGAAAAAAATAAGATTTCAGAAGAGGCGCCATGGCAGCATTTGAACCAGAGACAAACAAGCAATGCAAATAAAGAGTGCAATGAAAGCAATGGTCTAGTGGTCTGGAAGGTTCGGAAGGTTTCATGGAAGGGGCACAGAGGCAGAAGGGAGGGATTCTGGGTTGGAAGGAATAGGGTGAACAAAAATTCAAACCAGTAACAGTTATATGCATGGGGCGTTCCAGGCCAGTCTGGTGGGATACACCTGGTGGGAATTAATGAGGAAATCAGGATGAAAAAGGCACTAGAAGCTTCCATTTCCATTCTGATACAAATATGGTTAGAGAAGGGCAAGGTTCACATGGGCCAACGAGCTGAAAGTGCAGGCCTGGTTGGGGCACTGGTGTGTTAGTTTTCTACTGCTGTGTAACAAATTACCACAGAGTCAGCAGCTCAAAACGACATGCATATTTATTACCTCACTGTTGCCATGAATCAGGGGTCTGGGCATGGAGCGGCTAGATTCTCTGCTCAGTCTCAAAGGCTGCAATCAGGACGTCGGCCAGGCTGTGTTTTCATCTGGAGACTCGACTGGGAAGGAATCAGCTTCCAGGGTCAGCCAGCGTGTTGGCAGAATTCATTTCCTTGTGGCTGTCTTTTTGCTGATGGCCACCTTCAGGTCTCCCTGCACTTGCAGTTCCCTGCCATGTGACCCTCTCCGGAGGCTGTCCACAGCATGGCTATCTGCTTGCTCAGGGCCATCAGGGAAACTGCTTGCTCCCACCTGCTGAGATGGAGCCTTATGTGACATAACTTAATCTTGAGTGACACCCATTACCTTTGCCGTATTCGATTGACTAGAAGGAAGTCACAGGTCTCATCCACACTTAAGGACAGAAGATTATACAGGAAGTAACATCGGGGGGTGGACATCATGGGAGTCATCTAAGAATTCTGCCTAACATTAGGTGGGGGTGGGATTATTACCTAGAAACAAACTTTCCCTGGCTCACAGCTTTTGCTAAAGTCAACTCCAAGTAATAATATGCCACTTTCATTCCATGAGATCAATGCATGGGGATGATTGGTTGATTTGGTGGAAGATGTACAAGATTTCCTATCAGGAGTTTATATCATATATATATATATGTATATATATGATCATAATATATATAGGAAATATATATATGATATATATATTATATCAAGATTTCCTATTAGGAGTGTATATAATATTATATATATTATATAATAATATATAATATATATAATTTAATAATATGTAATAATTTAATATATGTCATATAATATACATAAAAATACCATTTGTGAATTGAGGCAGATCACACTCCCTATTTATGCATTTTTATCTATATAAAATACTTATTTATAGTAATAAATATAATAAATATTTAATTATAAACATTTATATTATATTATATTATATTATATTATATTATATTATATTATAGATGGTAGGTAGGTAGATAGAGGTATGCCCCAGTTCACAAATGGCATTTTGAGATGACATAAAAAAATCTTTATACTTTCCTCCCAACTTTTCTACAATGAGTGCCCTACTTTTATAATCAGAAAAGAGATTATGTTACAAAATTGCATACAAAGTATTCAAAACAATCCCTCCAAGGTGAATACTATTGAAACAGTTTTCAAAACGGCTTCAGCAGTATTCCAGAAGCACACATGGTTTCAGTCAGGCAGTGCTCCCTGTGTTGAGGGCAGGCGGGCCCCTCAGGACCATCCTTAGGATGTGCTCCCCATGCAGGTAAATGCCTTTTCATGGTTTTTTCCCCCATAACAGGGCATGTTATTGATCTTTCTCGGCATAAGGACAAATGGAATTGAAATGATATAAATATAGAATCTGAAATAGATCTGTGTCTCATTATAAAACTATAAAAGTGACGATATATAAAAAAACAGCCATCTAGTGGATTTATTGGCTTCTTCAGATCGCACCAAACCCCAAGCCCACAGCATACAACCTCTCTTCTTCACTTCCTGGAGGAAAGTAAACCTTGTATTGTGCCTGAGTGTGCATATATACCTCTTTATTGCATTTCTCTGGCACACATCAACACTGAACCCCTCAGAGCACTTCCTTTTTACATCTTTTTCCACTCTGGACCACCAGTCCCCTCTGTTATAGGTTAAGTTGTGCTTTGGCTTTGCCTCCTACTGGAAGGTACTCTCCTGGAGAGCAGGTAGAGCCTATAACCAGTGCCTGGTGCAAAGAGCCTGCTCAGCAAATGGTTGTTGAAAGAAATTGCTCGCGGCACTATTTTTCATTGTCTTCCTGGGTGCCGCTTTCCTTGGGTTCCCAGCCTGCCTTGTTGGCCCCTGCCTGCCACCCCCCCACCCCCGCTTAAGCAGGATGGCTCCCTGTCTCTTTGGGGTTTGAGCACCACTGGGCTTCTTCAGGCCGAGCCCCTGAGCTGATGATCCCCACCACGCCCCACAAAAACAAAATAAAACAAAACAAAAACAAAACCCTGCTGCTTCCCTGTGGTTCTACTCATGCTTCCTTCCAAAATGACTCTTCTTTGGGCCACTGCTCACTGTTTACCGCCCCCCCCCC